TTTAATTTGATCTGCAAAATCCCTTTATAGCGGTGCCTAGATTAGTGTTCGATTGAATAACTGGGAGAAGGTACGCGTTTGCTGCAAGATGGCTGCTGCCCTCCCTTCTGTCCTTATAGTTTACCCTAGCCAATTTGCCATATCAAAACCCATCACACCCTTCCCCCCTCCCTGCCTCCTTCCCTCTGTCTCTTGCTTCCTTCCTAAAGAGTTCCAGAACTCTTTTTCTTTAGGATTTGGAATTCAAGCAGATTTCCAAGGTGCAGATTGGATTTTTAGAATGCTTTTTGTTGGAAAAATTCATGCTATAAGTTCGAACTATGTCAGCATGTGTGCTCTGTGTCAGAATCCTTCTTTGGCCTTTTCCCTCCATCTCAAGATGCCTGTTCATCCTCAGACTCAAGGCACTGGCTGCCCTATATGCTACCGCATCCCCAAATTATTCCAGGCTGGTCTGTCAAGTCCAGGAGCATGGTAGGCAAAGAACTGTGTAACTGGAGAACCAACCACCAAGTGCTCAGGAGAATGACTTTAATATGGAAATCTCTCCCCTCGCCAAATCTGTGCACATGAAGCAGCCACAACAAATGGGGCTGTAAACAGTGCCAACTGTGCTGACTCCACAGCACACACAGATGCAGCCGCTTTTTAGATTCATTTTCACAAAGGGATGAATCAAACTTGTTGTTGGCGAACAATCCTACATTGTCTTCCCTTTCTCTCCCACAAGTAGGGCAACATTCTCCGAGCTCTGGGAAGCACTGCATGCTTGGGTGCAAAGCTCTGTGGGACACTCAATGGATAAATGCCAACTACCCCAAGATCCAGAATTGCTTGACACTCAGTCTGAGCATTGTAAGAACAGGACAGCATTAAAACCTTCAATCCAAGTAATTTTCATCTTGAGAACATCCTTTTATCAACAAGGCAAGTCCAGAGTTCTGCCCCTGGGTATGAGTTTGGAATGTCTGACAGGTTACACAGCCCAGTGCCACAAACTGGGGGCCCATTTGCCTCTTTTTCCCTCCTCAGTGTTTAGCTGATGTAATTACACATTTGTGTGATTACAGTCTATTATTTACCATAAGATAACAGGGGGCCCCAAGCAACTTGAGTGCAGGAGCTGAAAATGCATAGATCATTTACTTTAATGGCTGCACAGCCAGAGGGGTCAGAATCCCATGATAGGGTTGCTTATCTCAGGCCTCAGCATCCAAGAGCAACTTGGCCTCCAGGTTCTCCTCCATGGTGAAGGAATCTTTAATGGGGAAAACAACTCTCTTTCCTCCTGGTCCAATGCAGAAGCACACAGAATGTTCCCTGTTCTTTACTCTTTCCCTCTGTGATCTTAGAGAGAGATGGGCAACTTTTCTGTAAGGGGCCAGATAGTAAACATCTTAGACTCTGTGGGCCGTAAGGTCTCTGTTGCAACTACTCAACTCTGCTGTTGTAGTTAAAACTCAGCCACAGACAACATGTAAAGGAACAAGTGGGGCCATGTTCCAGTAAAACTTTATTTATGGACACAGAAACATTTTGATTTTCGTGTAATTTTTACGTGTGGTAAAATATTCTTCTTTTGATTTAAATATGTAAAAACCATTCTTAGCTTATAGGCCATACTAAAACAGGCAGCAGGCTGGATTTGGCCCAGGGCTGTAGCTGTTGAATCTTGTCTTAGAGCATCTCCAGATGCTACTTGGAATTTGGAAAAAGAGGCAGCTTTGGTGCTCCTTCCAGCCTTAAGGTCTGGCATTTGGTCAGGAGCCCTAGACCTGGCCTGCAGTACCTCAGCCTTGGTTTTCTCATCCGCTCTCTGGCACTGCCCTTAATCCCCTAGCAGCCTGATGTAGGAATGAATGAATGATAGAAAAGCCCTCAGTGCAACCTGAATTCAAGTTCAAACATCCTTTTTATTTTGACTTCCATTTTTCTCATGTTCATTGTGGTTTTTAAACATTTTCTTCCTTCTTAGCCACCTGTGCTGAGAATCTTTTGGTTTTGAGGATGGTAGTAGTTTCGATGAGATAAGCTTGTCACTTAGATTTTGAAGTGTGAAAAGTCACTGAATGTCAACATGCTGATGGGGCCATTGGAGGCTCTGCTGGTGCTATTTCAGCCAGGCTGAGTGCCCAGTGGAGCCCACTTAAAAGCTTTGTCTTGTCCATTTCTCTGAGTAGGAGAAAACCTTTCCTCAGATGTCTTTTCATTTTTACTGTGATATATTGCTTTTGTTAAGCTTTAAATGAAAGAAATACTTTTGAACATCTCTGTGTCAGGCTTGACTCCATCTTGAAAATATAATGAGCTCTTTGGATAACATTCCTTGTAAGAATTTAACCACAACTCGTACTTTTTGTTTTCTTTAGGTCTGAACAAACTTTACCGTACTTTTAATTTTACTACCTCTTCTCAGAGGATTTCAGACCCCCGACCTCAAATAAAAGGCCAATATATAGGGATAACAAAAGTGACAGTGGGTCACAAAGGGTCCCCTTTTCCCTTTGTCTGCATTGATTCTGTTCTTATAAAAGAGCTGGGAGATGAGCTTGCAACACTTTGTCATCCTTTTGGCAAAGAATAGGACTGCACCAGCACTGGCCCCTCCCTGATTTTCCTTGGCAAAGGAAGACAGAAGGCAATACTTTTATCCTTTTTAATGCACTAAGGTTTGGAAAGGATTTTGGAGTACAGTTTATAGTAAATTAGATTGAAAATCACAGTGTCATTCTTCATTCAAATGGCACATGGCCTCTAAAATGCTCAAAAGCTTTGCCAGCCACATACAAAACTTCAGCAAGCAACCAAGTCCTTATCCCTCAGCCTGTCAAGTTCAGACACGAAGCAGAGCCCAAGGTGGAGCAGAGCTGCCCGGCGGCCAGGGAGCAGTCAGCGGCCCCAAAGAGATTCCTGCCCTGAGCTATCCTTACTGTTAATGGTTGTAAAGATCGTTCTCAACACAAGGGAAGCAGCTTTTCTGTGCTCCACTCATAGGTGGAGCCCTCCCTCAGGGCTGGGAAACACTGTGCTGGAGGGCAACACAATTTTCCTGGGCCCGGAGGGAGGGAGTATTGATGGGGTTTGGGCTTTCATAGCAGTAAGTAAGAATTTGCTCTTCTTCAATTTCATTTTCACCTGCAAATGTGGCAGGATGCCTCCGGCAACATGGACTGCCGCAGAGGGACCTGGTGGCACAGGAACTGCAGCCCTAGGCCTGCACCCCTGGTCTTTCTCACCACCTGCTGTCCCTACCTGTGAGAGGCAGTCGTTATGTTTTGGCCTCTGCCCTATCTCTCCCCAACACATGCACACACACACAATTTCATAATTTCCCACACAAGACCAAGGGCAAGGCATGGGACTCATTCACAAGCTACACAAAAGCATGACCACATCTAGATGTGCAGGTGACAGGAAAGGTGACCTTCAATACTCAGAAGATTGACTACACCGTCAGATCCTTCAGCTCCAGGTTCCTGGTCCTCTTATCTGCTGGCCATAGGAATAATAATAAAGGTGGTTTGCATTTCTGTTCCCTGTCCCACCTCCCATCAAGAAACAGAATGATTGGTTCCATAGAAGATATGAAAAGCATTCACTTATTGTATCAGATATAGGTTGAATGGTAACTGTATGCCAGGCACTGAGCTAGAGATAAATGAGAGAGTGATGAGAAGAAAAACACTATGCTCCTAACTAGGTATGTCACTAACTAGCTGTGTGACCTTCGGCAAGTCACTAAACTTCTCTGGGACTGGACTGCATCTCTATTACTTGCTCTCTCTGATAGTCTAAGAAGTCAACAGAAATGGGGGAGGGAGAGGGATGGCTAGGTTAGGTGTCAGTGGCAGAAAGGACTTCTGAAAGGATGTTCTGTTTGGTGACAGTACTGTCCACAGGGAAGAATAAGAAAACTCCACCTGGATACGAGGTGGAAGCAGCCCATTGTCAGGGGAGTTCACTAGACGTCAAAGTCCCCTTCAAAAAGGGATCATTGCTCCCTTCCAAATAAGGAGCTCTCCTGCCACATGGGTCGTTTGTAGAAGGGGGAGGAGGAAGAAGTTCTGTTTGGCTGGTTGCCTTGGTCTTGTGTCCCTTCATTGAATAGACTGAGGGGTCTAAGTCCCTGTCAGTAAGTGGATGCCCCTTGAGTTTTGGGGATTTACATTGTGAGAGGAGTTGTGGAGGAAAAGCAAAGGTCTTTAAGTCACTAAAAGCTGCCTTGTGTCATACTCTTTGATGTCTTGGTGTGTCTCTGTTTCCTCATTTTTACAAAGGGGGCTGATAGAATTCTTCGTGTTTGGGTAATGAGTTATACTTTTCAATATAATACTTTTGAAATAAGCATATGCATGCTTATTTCATTCCGCCAGGGAGGTAGAGAGAAAGGAAGGCAGGTATTAATTTGCACAAATCCTTCGGTAATGGACTGTCCTGTGAACAGTCCATCTATGAGAAGCTTTTGGCCTAGGGCCCTAGTCTATCTAAGGTGTCTTTTGAATTGATGTTTTAGGAGACCTTCAACCTTGAGGTCCTTCAAACTTACAACAGTTATGAAGGTGGTCAGTATAAATGTCATTAGTCATACTCAATGCAAGTTTTCAATTCTACACAAAAACGTGAGCTGCACCTACCTCTGAGGAGCGTGTCATTCTGTTTCTCATTACTGGCACAACAAGCTCTTGGAAGCATTAAATATTACTGGGAGGTTTTAGATACATTGAGCTAGTACTTCCCAGGTGGTTGGCTTTGTAGGTAAAGCACCTAGTGAATGAGTGTTTGATTCTTCCATCAAGTTGTCTCTAACCCTTCAGGATGAACATAAGAATGAAACAGCAGATTTTTTGTTCTCCATCTCAATAGAATTTTGAAGGATTCTTGCTGTATTGTGCATCAAAAGCCTTCATTAGCAATGCAAGCACTTCAGAAGGCAGAGAGTGACTCATACACGGTCCAGAAATAGTACTGAGGAAAATTGCATTTATGTAATTCTTTCTCAGAATGTCACGCTGTGAATACTTATCATCTCAGCAGAAACACATGGGGACGATGGCATCTTCCAGGGCCTGCAGGGATGCTCTCTCTCCCAGAGCCATGTCACGCCTCCCAGGCCTCCAAGAGCCACTGGCAACTTGAGGGCAGCTGCTGAGGCACAACAGAGGAGTGAAAACGTGAAGGGAAGCCCAGGAAGTGACTTCTCTCTTCAATTTCAATAGCAGAGCATTCAGCACGTATGCTCCAAAGAGGTGACACTTTGATTTATTTTTGTTAGTTTTATTTTGCTTCCAAATATAGACTCTTAATATTAAAAAAATAATTGTAGTGAAATATACATAACATAAAGTTTATCCTTTTAATCATTTTTAAGTGTATAATTCAAAGACATTAAGTACATTTACAATGTTCTGCAACCATCACCACCATCCATCTCCAGAACTTTTTCATCTTTCCAAACTGAAACTTCGTACCCATTATATTGTACAATAACTCCCCCTTCCCCATCCTCCCAGCCCCTGACGACCACCATTCTACTTTTTATCTCTATGACTTTTTATACTCTAGGTAACTCACATAAGTGGAAGCATACAATATTTGTCCTTTTCCGACTGGCTTATTTCACTTAGCATAATGTCTTCAGGGGTCGTCCATATCCATCCACATCCGTAGCATGTGTCAGGATCTCGTTCATTTTTATAACTAAATAATACTCCATTGTAGGTATATATCACATTTTGTTTATCCATTCATCTGTTGACAAACTGGGACTGCCTCTAGCTTTCGGCTCTTGTGAATAATGCTGCTATGAACATGGATGTTCTAGTCCCTGCTTTCAGTTCTTTTGGGTATATATCCAGAAGTGGAATTGCCAGAAATGGACTCTTAAAAATGGAAAGGAAAGATCCTGAGGGGAGTAGGTCATACAATTTATACTATCAACACACTGGAAGAGAAGGGGCATAGATGATCCAGGACTTTGAGTCTAGTGGGATTGATGGATACAGTCACCCAGGCAGGCTGGAGAAACCGAGAGGGGTGGGCTTGGTCTTAAAGAAGGTTGAGCTATTGGCAAATTGAGGATTAGATCTTGAGATTCTCCCTGGTGAGGTTGCAGCCAGCTTAGAGGGAGCTCTGTAAAGCGAAGTCAGGGCCAGCACCTCTAGGAGCCATTCCAGTATACACCATTGGGAATGCATGCAGGGGAACCAGGCCAGCTCTTCTCCGCTCGTGAGGCCCTGCCATGGGGCAGCTCTGCCCCATGCCCAGTGATGGTTCAGCACCAAGATGTCTGCCGGCTCTTCTATGTGAGAAATGGGATGAAGCCAGTGTTCTGGGCTTCAGGCTGCTCTGGGGTAGTAAGGATAGGTGCATTTCCTGCAGCTTCCTGCATTCAGATGACCCTTGGAAGCCAAATCAGACTTCGGGGTTTAACACATGTTTCTTAAGGAGCCCCCCAAAGGTGGCTTTGCTGTGTGTACCCTCTGGGCTGTGAAAAGCCTTTGGAGGGAGAGGACAGATGAAATAAACACATAGCTTGGAAGTCACAGCAAAGGCTTAGGATGGTCACCTTTGATGGCCTGGAATGATCTGACCTGGCATCAGGGCCTCCCCTCCTTGGGACGGGCCCAGCCAGTGCCCCAAGGACCTGCATTTTTGTTCCATGTTGCCTCTCCCATTAAGCAATGACTATATCACCCCCAGATAATGACCAATCTTGGAAAGATTAGCATTCTACATACTTGGTTAAAAATTTTTTTATGCAACCGGTGTTCTACTTTTTCCTAGAATCTTTGCCTCTCTAAGGACTAGTCCTTGCTCTTGCAGAGTGAAGGAAGAAAGGGATCCAAAAAATATTGGTCCAGAGTAATTTTCAATTAGCACCCCTAGCCAAGTGATAAGATATATTATTACGTGCTCTGAAGTTCTATGAGAGCCCACTCAAATCCCTGCTTCATTGTGTAAAGAGGCCCTTCACTATAAAATAGCTTACACTTCGGGCCTGGATTTCAAGAAGATTTATTAGTCGGGGCAAGCGGGGAGTTTGGCCCCATGACAACTTGGAACATTTGCCATTGATTTGGAAAGAACGACAGCCCATGTTCTGAATAGAGAGAGGGAAAAGGGGACAGAGTTCTCAGCTGAACACTTATGAGAATAAGATGAAACTGCTTCAAAAAGATGTCCAGCCAGTAGGGCATGTGGTGGATGGTTTGAGTATGGAAGGTCACACCCAAGAGGGGCCGGACAGGGATAAATGGGACACTCACTTTAAGAGTATCTAGGTAGCTCTAATCAGAACATTCTTTTCCCAGAATCAAAAAAATTTTTAAAAAATCAATCTGCATATAAAACAAGGATGCTCTTGTTTAATTGTCTAGACCTTTTACATTTCCCGTGGCCCCTTTAGAGTTGAGTGGCAGCAGAAGACACTGATTTTTATGTATCTTGGAACTGAGATACAAATAAACAAAAAGGATAAAAAATTCTTAAAATGATTTACAAAGCAGTGGAAAAAATTTTGCTTTAAGGGTCGAGGGAAATGGAACTAGCGTTGGCTCGGCTGCAACTTCGGCTCTTCAAAACTAGAGATGTTATTTTACCCATTGGGCCCCCTGCTTTCTCATTTTATAATGGGGGAGGAAAAGTGAGAAGTGGCTGGGTTAGATGTTTTTTACTCATGATCCGGAGGGCCTTAGAGATCTTGTGAACCCTCCAAAATAGTTGGCAGTGTGTTACATCTTTGTGCAAATGGGCATTTTTCTGGGGAAGGCTCATTACTTTGGTCATATTCCCTAAAGTGGTCCATGGCTTCCCAAATGTTAAGACCTCCTGAACTGGATCCTTAAATATCCTAACAGTCTTTAAATATGCTGTTGCACATCTGTGATTCTAAGGTTGTTCTGGTGTATTCTGTGACGGGGCTGTGATTCCCTAAATCTATTATGTTTTCATTGTAACGTGAGAACAGTTGCAGGTACATGCTCCGGTCCACTCTTGTGTCCAGGTGTTGGTTGGGCTTTGTGGAGAAAAATAATTCAGAAGTAAGAAATATGAGTCTTTAGGTTCTCTAATCATCCCAGTTCCTGAGTGTGCCTATTCATCCCACCCCTGAGGGTCTTGGCCAGCCCCATTGTGAAGCCCAAGCATGTTTCTACTCTACATCTTTGCAGCTGGGTCCCTTTCACCCTGGCCCCAGCCGTCCACCCAGATATACCCATTTGACATTCCATCCCTGTCTTCAAACAATTGATTCTAATTGAAAAGCTTGATGGGAAGTGATCTTTGGCAGGTGAATCTTTTCATACCCTCAGGATACCCTCTCCCTCTGGTGAAGGAACATCTGCTGCTGAATTATTAACCTCTGCACACGCAAAAGGAGGTAGAGATGGACAATGTGTTCTTTTTGAAGGGGAAGAGTTCCTGGGGTAGAATTTCATACTGGGTGAACTTGCTGGGAACACCCACAGAAGTGGCACATCAGACCATTCTGCCCACAAGCATTTTATAAAACAAAATGAAATCAAATGATCCTCTGTTTGACATACACAAAATTCACTGTTTCAAAACACTTTCAACGTGATTTTTGTTCCTTTAGATTTCTTGTTCCAAGGATTTTGCCTCCCCCAGCAGGGGATTACGGAATATTCTGAGAACTGTGTCTCCCGTCCTGAGTGTGACCTTCTCAGTGTGATGCCTGACAAAGGGACGGTCACAGACAGAGCGTTGGCTTCTTAATAGGAGTAGGGGGCATGGGGGTGTTGGGGTGAGGAGTTTATCAGACATCATTAGCAGCTTTATTTTCCTTCAATTGTGGGAAAACTCTTCCCTTGAAATGGCACCTGAGATTGTCCAATTCTAAGGCACAGGCTGAAGTAAGCTGACAAAGAAGTTGCTAGGGCACTGCTGTTAAAGGTTAGCTTGTATCTGTTCTGGACAAGTTGGGAAAGCATGAGTGAGACCTTCTTATGTCTCATATGAGCGCTCTGATTTTGTTTCCAGAGGATAAAAAGTTCAATCTAAGCCATTTAGTATTCTGAAAATCATGGAATTACTTTTCTTTCTTTCTTCCTTTTTTAAACAAAAGCTCTTCTTCATTTAAGACGTATTAAATACGCAATTTTTTAAAGGAACATTATTTTCTGGATATAAATTTATGGATTCAGTTTTACACTTGTTATCCTTAGTGTTTCAGGTGCATATCAGCACGAATGCACGTGACTCCACAGCTCAGCTCACTATGCGGGATGCATTTCAATGATTTTTGAAAGCTGGAACAGTTCATCATTCCCCCTTTCGCTAAGTGATTCTCTTTTACCAGCTTTGGTATTTTCCCTAGACCATTTTAAGAAAGAAATTGTATAGAAACTTTTCTGTTCACATCACATGTCATCAAAGCCCTGTTGTGGGATGGGATGAGGTTTAACTCTTCAACAGGAGCCCTTTGATAGCACAAAATTTGATGTTCAGCAATTACTGCTTTTTGAGAACTCCAAGTACACCCAGCATTGCAGTTTTTGAAACAATCGTCTCTTTTCTCTGGTTTCTCATCTTACTTGGCTCCCATAGAGACATGAGACAGGCCCTCTATTTCTGTTTAAGTAGAACAACTGACATTTATGGCCCAGCTGGAAGGAGAGAGGTGGGTTGACTGATTCAGGCTCTCATTTTTTTTTTTTTTTCCAACTAAAAATGTGATATGGGTTTGTTATATGTTTATTTAATCTTAATTCAGGCTCCTCTATAAAAATCCTGGTGGGAGAAAGAAAGCAAAACTTCAACATATGTGTTGAACTTGGAATGAGAAACTTTAATCCTTGGAAAAACAGTATTGTGTCAATTGCAGATTACAACTAATCACAGTATATTCAGACAGTGGCAGGAACATTTTATTTCCCATTTTAATATTCAGTTCACACAATCATGCATTAAAGTGACCTTTTAAATGCATATTTTCCCTAAATTTTCTTCAGACCTATATTTATTTTATTTGACTGAAACCCTAGTGGCCTATATGAAGTGAACCAGATGTTTTCCATTTACAGAAGGTGCACCTGATAGAGCCTTAGCAGGTTTGCTGGCTGCCAGCTGTTAGCTTGTATTCTCAGCATCAGTATATAT